CCCCCTCCCCCCAGAACGCCAGAACCGCAAAAGCCCGAAACCCAAACCACAGACCCTCGGCACTCTATATTAAGTATTCGACGCTGAATGTTTCACGCTAAACCAACGAACGACTCTACAGTCCGGACCGGACGGAAGGGCCGGGTATTTCCCATGCCTCGAAGCACAGAGCGGAATGGATTGGATTGGATCGGATCGGATCGGTTTGGTTTGGTTTGGTTTGGTTTTTGTTTTTGGGATGCCTCAACCCTACCTACCTACGGAAACCCCCTCTCAAACCTACTCGCCACTATACGGGAATGCCGGCCGCGTGATTACGTACGTCGACGGAGACACAATCACGACTCCATGCTTTTCTTACCCGATCTTGTTGACGTGTAAAGTCGATGCGGAGGAGATGTACGGGATCTCTGAGAGCCTCTTGATTTTCATCTATGTATTTGTTGTGGGGGGAGAAAAAAAGGAATAAAAATAAATGAAAAATAACCCCCACCACAGATAAGAGAGAGCCCAGGTGTGCTTTCCAACAGCGAAAGCATAAGACGTAGGTCTAGGTCGTCGTGTCTAAGATACTACGTCGCAGGCGTAAGTATTACCCCTCGAGGGTACGGAAAACAGGGTTTTAAAGTCGAAACTAGACTTTTGAGGCACCCTCGAGGGGTAATACTTAGGCCTGTACCGTGGTACGTAGTACCTAGTACCGGTAGTATGTATGCTTTTTGCACGACACGTGCAGGCAGGCAGGCAGGCGGCGCCCTCGTCGCAGCTATACTACTAACTTCGGAGCCCGAAAAGACTATACCGTAGTGTCGAACCACCGCGTCCGAGGCAGAGAGAAGCAAGCAAGCACACACACGTGCTTCCATCGTATCGTATCGTATCCGCGATGAGAGACGAGTGCGTCCCGTTCGAAGACGTCTCTCCCACCTCCCTCCCAAACTCCAATCAGTGGTGCATATTCGTTGCAGAACTTCCAAAAAAAAAAAAAAGGAATCTTCGAGAAAGCTGGACGTTCTGCTTCTCTCATGTGAGCGGCATCATCATCATCATCATCATCATGATATCCCCTCCACCCACCCTCCCCTCCCCCCCAAAAGAAACCCTCACGTATGCCGCTCCGGACAGCAAGCAGCGCGTAGGTTTGGTAAGGGTTTCACTCAGTACGTAGGGCGACTCGCGAGGCATGCCGGGGAAGGAAAAACCCCCCCAAATGCATTCATTCGATTCCACGCTGTGGTGCCAGCCCGCCTCCAGACATGGGAAAGAAATCGGGCCCTTCCTTACCCTTTCCGTACCGGTTCTGTTCTGCCCTCTCTCCCTTACGGAACTCCTCGTTTCTCTCCGCCAAACCAGACCAAACCAAACTAACTAACCAAACCAGTCTTCCTCCCCCCACACCTCCCGCTCCAAAAAAGAAGAAGAGAATGAAATAAAGGAAAAGGGTCCGGGAGGAATAGATACTTACTTAGGTCCTCCGTAGAATCTTCGTCCTAAAAATAAAAATAATAATAATAAGAATAAAAATTGTCAAAAAAAGAGAGCTGCTCTGCTCTGCTATGCCTTGCCTTGCCTTGCTTTGCTTTGCTTTGCTTTACCTTGCTTTGCTTTGCCTTCCTTTGCTAAGTAGGGCGAGGAAGCCAAGGAATGAAAATGAATGAATGAATGAATGAATGAATGAATGAATGAATGAATGCCTGAGGAATACTCACTGTATGCGAAAGGTGCACAGTCCGTACGTCAAGGGCAAGGCAAGGTAAGGCAAGGTAAGGTAAGGCAAGGTAAGGTAAGGCAAGGCAAGGTAGGTAGGTGCCTAAGGCCTCTTCCCCCCCTAGCGAACCAGCGCCCATTATTCTCCCTACGGAAATGGATGGATGGATGGATGGGTTGGTTGGTTGGTGTATCCGTAGGTAGGTAGGTAGGTGGGTAGGTAGGTAGGTAGGTACGTAGGTAAGGTAGGTAAGGTAGGTAGTACTCAGTCAGTAATTCAAGGCCG